AAGGAAGGAAGGAAGGAAGGAGATTATAATGAGAGTGTGGGAGAGTCTGAGTAAATTTCTGCCTTAGCACTTGGCCACCACAGGTGCCCCTGACTCACTACATTATCCCTTATGGGAAAAATTTGTTTGGTACTCATCATTTTTGGTACTCATCATGCTTTTCAGAACCAATTATTGATGAGTACTGAGGTACCACTGCACTAGTTGGTTTTTTTGGCACATGTTGGCCTGTATGCCAAGTATCACCGAGTTTTACCATGGTCACATTATTTGGGTAAGATAGGATTGCATATCTAAAGGTACATATATCTTGGAGACTGTTGTCTCACTTTATCACTTATGACATATAAGCAATGTATGTAATTAAACACTATCAAGATATTCCTATAAACTAATGCATTCTATTTATAAAATTAATTGATCATCTTAACAAAAATTAGAACAATTTTGCTTTGAATAGCTCAAGCTGGTCGCTTCAGGAAATGCAAGAACATCATCTCACTACAAAGTTCAATTATTATTGGAGGACAATACACATTACTTTTAGTAATTAAAGGCAAATTCATATATTACTTTTAGTAATCTAGTTTATTCATTGCTTGGTATATTTCAATTGCCAAATGTTAAAATGGTCCAATTACCTAAAAGTATTTTCCAACAGTTGTATGAATCATTAACTAATTCTGCCTTTTTCAAGCTTAAGCATTCTTTTGATTATATCAAACAATTTCAGTTTCATAATGAAGAACATTGTGTCATTTTTTCTAAGGAACTAGGAAATTGCTGAAACAACCAGAAAAAATGTTTTCATTTTTCTTGAGTGGGTCAGTCAATTTTATAAATACAACATAACCCCACAAAAATGATATGCAGATTTTTTTGAACCTTCTTGCAAATTGGCAAGCGTTAGTTTGAAGCATAAATATTTTTAATGAAAAGACATAAGCAAATAAAGTAGATACTCGTGAGAACCATTTGCTGTTGTTGTCAGCATACTGGTGATCAGATGTATTCCCCATGTGGCTTACTCGATGCTTTGCTTTCATTTTCCAATGATACATAGGAGAGACCTCCAGAGCAGCTGTGACCTTTTCCAAGCCTAGAGATTTTAAATGGAAAGGTCTGTAAAATTCCAGAGCAAGTAATAGCACGTAGGGAAGAGTCTGTGGACAGAAGGAAACAGAAGTTTCTTTCCAGGAGAAAAATGGTAGACCTGATCTCACCGCTATGGGTTATTCAGACAGTGACAGCGATTCTGAGAATGGATTTTACCTCTCTGGAAGTAGTGATGAAGAATACAATCTTGAAACTGAAAAAAAATCAGAGTTAGTAATTGCCAGATTGCATTTTCATAGTGTTTTTAAGCTAGGCTATAGCACTGGATCTGTCGAAGGGTTGAGTTAATCTAATAAAAAGACTGACTGCATGCTTACGTTTTGTATAATTTATCACATCTTAATTTACAGGTATTAATCTTGAGAGGCATAACTAAACAAGTTTAAAAACATACATGGTGTTCTATGGTGAGGAATAATTTGATCAGAACTGGAATGGTGTGTGGTTACAGAGTTACTGATGGAATATTTATTAGCATGTATTCTTTAAAATCATTGTAGTGCCAATAGGAGTGATATCGCATTTTGATATATAATTCCATGACAAATTGTATATTTCCACATAATGTTAACTTAGCTCCCCTTAGTTCAAGGGGAAGTGTAAGAAATCCTCTGTTGGTTAAACAATATTTCTATATAAAACAATAGCTGCAAATAATCCTTGAACAGCATAATAGAAATATCGTGATAGTGTTACTGGACCAACGTAGGCACTTTTTAAAGGGATAAGTCTCTATATCAAGATTTAAACAATTTATTCCCCCCCCCCCCCCAATATGATGGCAAATATGGCTTCCAATGATTGCCTTTTTCATAGTTTTTGTCTATTTTATATTTCTTTCTTTTTCTTTTCCTGAACAGACATTTCGTGTTCTGTGCAAAACCCCAAATCCACTTAGAAAATGGGAATTCATAAGATTTTCCTCTGTTACCTTGTCTCTCTTCTAGAATGCATTCTAGAACATGTTCTGACCAGATATGGTATTCAGCAGGTTCTGACCAGTTCTGGAGAACCGGTAGTGGAAATTTTGGATAGTTCAGAGAACTAGCAAATACCATCTCTGACTGGAGATTTTATAGTATCCTTACCCTGCCACGCCCACCAAGCCACTCCCACAAAACCAGTAGTAAAAAAATTTGAATCCCACCACTGGTTCTGACTAATTTTCTGAGCAGCAGAACCCTCTTCCAAGCAAAACACTTAAGCCATAATCATTTATTGTTTTGATTATGTAACAATACCCATGGCCCTACATGGCACCCAATTAGTTACATTTAAAAAGTTACTGCATATTCCCTTGCAACATACTTGTGTCCCATTTATTTTTGTATTCAAAGAATCTTTGTTAAAAAGTTGGTGTCTTCAAAGCTGCACAGTTTGGTGAGAGACTAAAAAATTTTAAAACAACTTCTTTTAAAAGTTTTGTCCACCCATTTATACACTACATATCTTGAAGATATTTTTTCTTGATATAATTGGAATTCATAGCAAACTGAAACCTATGTAGGGATGCATAAGGAAAAACCAAAAGTAGGAAACATATTAAAACCTATTTATTAACTTCTTCACACACTGGTTTTCTTCATAGAGCAGGTCCACATTAATTAGCCTTCTCCCATCTAATGCAGCTTGATTCATTAATTGTTTGCTTTTTGCCTTTCTCTATTTATAGAAATGATAGATTGTGCAGACGTCACTATACCAAAATATCCACACTTCTTCTGTGACCCATATTAATATATAAATGGTCTGCTTCTGCTAAATGAATTGCCAAGTGAGAAAAGGATGAATGAAATGGTCTTATGAAAAAACATTAAAATGCTGGGGCAACATTTCTGATTATCATGTTGATAATGTTTTGAAAACATTTCTCAAGAGCAGCAAAATTAGAATAGCATTATTTGTCAATGATTTAAAGCATGATATCAGTAAACATAATTCTCATTTGCAAGATGCATTTGTGGCCTAATGTTGCATAGTAGTGTAGAGATAACTGCCTAGCCATTTTGTGTAAAATCTGTGGTGTTGTCCTTTCAGGGAAGATGTCAGAACAGCTAATGTTATTAGTGCGGAACCCGTGACGTGTCTGGTCATCGACAGAGAGTAAGTATGCCACTTTTCAGCATTGATGCTAATTATTTCAAACTGCCAGTCACTTTAATTGTGCTTAGCAACTGACCTTGTTTAATCTTGGAACATTTGAGGGGAAAATATTTCACTGACCTGGTCTTGAGATCAAATAGATCCCCAACTGAGTCACAGTTTATTAAATGCATTTGATAATGACTCCAATTTGAATAGAAACATGAAAATGCTTGGAAGGTTAATCATACAGCAGAGGAATATTCATAGCTTTTTATCTGAATCTGAAATAAGTCAAGGTTTCTTTCTGTTGAGGTTTCAAAATTCTCAGTTCCCGGTTCATTCATTGCTTTTTGTCTGTTCCAAACATGCTTGGGATAGGAATAAAAACAATGATTAGTTACCGCTGAACAGTTAACAAATCTGTTGTTTACCTGCTGCACACATTATGGTGTTGCCAAGTGAATGAGCTACCATTTAGCCTACAACAGACTGGATATTCAGTGTTTCATTTTCCCCGCCTCCCATCTATTTCACAGTAGGTACACTGTAAATAACCTCTTTTAATAAAAATTTCAAATGTAAAGCTTACACAGAAGTGAAAGGAAAAATTACATTTGACTCTCTTAATGGGGAGAGATTCATGGAGTAAAGAACAATACCATTTTTTCTATAAAACCAAAAATTTTGTAAAACATCAAATGCATACTTATGTATGCTTCATCTATCTAGAAAAAAAGAGATGGTAGGTAGGTAGGTAGGTAGGTGGATAGATATAGATAGATAGATAGATAGATAGATAGATAGATAGATAGATAGAGAAAAATAGATAAATAGATGATAGAGGAAAAATAGAAAGAAAGAGGGGGGAAGTGAGAGGGTTAGGGGTTGACAATATCCTTTATAATAATTTATATTTACTGAAATGTTTCCTAGAATATGTATGAAAATATCCAGTATTTAATTTATGCTCCACAACAATTAAAGTGAAACCCATCTCTTACAAAATAAATGGAACTGTTAAAATTGCCAACAACTTAAGTGATACATATACAAGACATTTTCTTTATTATAAAATAGCCATTAAGTATACATTTATAGAAGAGAGTTAATGCATGCCAGTTTTTTATTGAGGAAAATGTATTTAAATAATTATTCATATTTGAATAATATGTCAAATATTTTGCCACTGGAATTTACAATGACAATTTAAACAAAAAGGAAGAATTAATTCAGGATTAGAGTTTACTTGTGGGATAATTCTTCTCTAATTTTATGGGATTAACTTAATATATATTTTCTTTTGCTGCTGACAATGTCCTTGTACTACCAAGTGGGTGTAAATATAACTTCTAAGACTAAAGTTTAATCTACTGCATGCCAGAGAGTTCAACATTGTGCAATTGAATATGACTGCAAGAATGCTATTTATAGTGGATGTTTTTTTCAGTTCCATTGTGACCCTAGGGATTCTGACTTTGTTGTCAGCATATCTGTGTCCAGCTCTCAGTTAATTATATACATGAAACTAAGTGGAATAACTTGTAAATTAGTGGAAACTTTTTAGGTTTTGTTAAAATGTAATACTTAAGGCCTTAAGTGAATGGTTTCTATCAATATTTTTGTAGGTACATCTCAGATATGTTATCTTGAATAGCTATTGATATTTTTGCATGAGTCCCATAAAATCTGTGTGCACGTATGTTAGTGCATATGCCTTTGAGACCTCAACAAGTCCCTAAAGTTTTCTTGGAAAGGCTTTTTGGGAATGGCCTCCTTCCTAGGGCTGAGAGAGAATAATCAACCCAAGCTCATCCAGCTGGCTGTGTGTAAGGTGGACTAGAACTCACAGTCTCCCAGTTTCTAGCCTGATGTCTTAACTACTACACCAAATTGGCTGCAATCTCAAGATTAATCTTAACAACCCTCATTATGTAGAGCTTCTTCTATAGAGCTTTACTGTGTATTCTGGTACAAGGATTTAAAAGCAAACTAGAAAAAATCATGGTTGATCGGTGACTGTATTTTGTATGGCTTTTTTGCAGCCAGCAGTTTTAGAGGATAGTATACTATTTGCCAAGTAGCGCTAAGCAGCAAATACCTGCTTCAAAGTGTTTGGGGGGATCATTGCTAAGCAGCTGCAAAGACCTTCTTGTTTTCATTTATGGCCACACCTTCCATGAACTTTCATAATCCAGCCAGGTTGTAGGACCATGCAGAGATAATATTGTGTAAAACATGTTAGTGCTGTAGGAGAAAAGCTATGTGGCAAATATCGTCGTTTCCGGCTCTAGTGGTGCTCATCTCTGTTATAAAGCCGAAGAGCCAGCACTGTCCAAAGACATCTCTGTGGTCAGCATGACTAAACGCCAAAGGCACACAGAACGCTGTTACCTTCCCACTGAGATGGTCCCTATTTTTCTACTTGCATTTTTCATGCTTTCGAACTGCTAGTTGGCAAAAGCTGGGACAAAGTAACGGGAGCTCACTCCGTTATGCAGCGCTAGGGATTTGAACTGCTGACCTTTCTGATCGACAAGCTCAACATCTTAGCCCCTGAGCGTATATAAGTATATATGCTATTGCTGTAAGAGGCTTCCAATTAGCAAGAAATGTAGTTAATGACTTTTGTCTAATGAAATAAGTTAAAATATTCATTTCAGCAAAATCTGTCATCTTCCCCAACCATTCTTCCATACTGGGCGGTGCCAACTCTTTCCTTCTCTATGCATTTAGTAATCTTGCTACTGTGCTCTTATTGTTCTGACCAAGGCTTCCGAGACCGTAATTAAGCACGTGCTTAGTTAAAACAACTCTTGTTTTATTTCAGTGCTGGGAATTATGTTCATTCCCAGCCTGTAATGAGTCCCAAATAGTCCCTCGAGATAAGCACTCACCTTTCTTTCCTTTGAATTGCTGCTAGCAACAAAAGTGCCAAAAACCAATGGAAGTATAATGTCCACACAGAGCTTCAAGGATTAATCCAAACAGAACGAATGAGTTTGATTCCTTCAAAGGTTTCTTCACCTTTATACCTTATGGGAGGGGCAATTACCTCCAAGCCTTACTCTTGAGTCTCCCTTTTTGTTTCAGCTGCTCTTGCCTTCTAGCATCTCTGCGCACACGCGCACTGGGAACAGGCTCCCCTTGTTCCTCTGCCTTTCTGCTGCCAGACTCCAGAGGCTCCAGAGTCAGCACCCCACTCCCGTCCTGGCCCCATCTCTGCTTCGGATGCAGGACCCTTGTCCGAGTCCTCTCCAGACTCCTGGGCTGGTCCCCGTTCTTTGCCATTGTCCGATTCCGCTGCCGTCTGCACAGGCTGCCGGCGACACTTATATTGAAATAATCTTCCACAGTTTTTTTTACTAACTGTTTATCCCTTAATTTTAAAAGGAAAAGTTCTGGCCACGTTCACTAAACCCTGAAGCTCAACACTACCCAACAGATCCCAGCCATGAAAGCTTACACCAGTATGAAATTGGTGTTGTTTTTCTTGTGCCCTTCCTGGGAGAGGTAGAAGCAAAGGTAATACATAATTCATGCAGAGACCCTTATAGCCATTGCAACGAAATACAGTAACATGTGTTGGACAAGGAAAAAGCTGCATAATCAGTGACCTTGTTGTGTTGGAAGAGTCCATCTGGCTATTGTTATAAGGACACTTATAGTCATGAATAATAAATAATGTTATGAGTAATGATTTGTAATTAATGAATTATGAATTAAATCATGATAATTAAACATTGATTCATAATTGTTCACTTGCGAACAGTGTTTCCATTCTCGTATGTCTTGAAAAGATTTTGAAGCTGCCCGTGTGATTTTCTGTACTCCTGCTGACCTTGAAATGCAGGGAATGGTCAATGCAGCATAGCTATGATGGTTTATGTAGTACAAAAGTCCCCTACCCCTGCCCCAGAGAGAAATGTGTGTGTGGGAGGGGGAAATGGAATGGAATAGAATAGAATAGAATAGAATAGAATAGAATAGAATAGAATAACAGAGTAGGAAGGGACCTTGGAGGTCTTCTAGTCTAACTCCCTGCTTAGGCAGGAAACCCTTCACCACTTCAGACAAATGGTTATCTAATCTCTTCTTAAAAACGTCCAGTGTTGGAGCATTTACAACTTCTGGAGGCAAGTTGTTCCACTGATTAATTATTCTAACTGTCAAGAAATTTCTCCTTAGTTCCAAGTCGCTTCACTCCTTGATTAGTTTCCACCCATTGCTTCTTGTCCTGCCTTCAGATGCTCTGAAGAATATTTTGACTCAGTGGTGGGATTCAAATATTTTTACCATCGGTTCAGTGGGCATGGCTTGGTGTGCGCACTTTGCGCGCATGCACACGCTTTGCGTGCACATCAAACACACACTTTGCTGAAGCACAGAGGCGTTCCAACTCACCTCCTGCAAGCCTGCACTCTCCCTGTCACTTCAGCAGCTGCCACACGGCACTCTACTGTGCCGCAGAAAGCAGCTGCGCTTCAAAAGCAGGGAATAAAGGTGAGTGTTGGAGCCCAGGCGGGTGGGTGGGCCTAACAGCAGAGCGGCGGAGAGAACCAGTTCGGTCTCTGCTGCTCATCGGTACTACTGGCTCGGCAGAACCGGGCCGAACCGTAAAATACCACTACTGATTTTACTCCCTCTTCTTTGTGACAGCTCCTGAGATATTGGAACACTGCTATCATGTCACCCCTAGTCCTCACACATACACACACACACAGAGAGAGAGAGAGAGAGAGAGAGAGATTACAATGCAGTATTGCTTGCTACCTTTGCTGGCTGCCAGCAGTTCAGCAGTTCGATTCTCACTAGCTCAAGGTGAGTTTGGTAAAATGAGGACCCAGGTTGTTGGGGGCAATATGCCAACTCTGTAAACTCTGTAAACTGTGAAGCTTTAAATAAGTCTAAGTGCTGTTGCTAATACACATGCTCACACATACACACATGCATGCAAACATCCTAGTCTCCTCTTCCTCATATTCAAAGCCACGGTGATGTATTTTGGCCTTTCCAAAATC